TGGTGACTGGTTGTGCTGGACTTACATTGGTGACTTACATTAATGTCTAGTGTCAGCAGAGCTTTCCAAGAGTAGTTTGACGATAAAATAGTTTCTTTACTGACCAGAGAACATGTAATCGGGACAAGGTGCAGAATTAATTAAGCTACATTCAACACAAAACAAATGATTATAGAATATTACTTGAGGAAAACTGGTTAAAATTATCAAAGTCACTGAAAATGTGGCAGGTGCTTTGAGAAATTTGAGTTAAGGTAAAGCCAGCCATTAGTAGCTCACGCCTACAATCCTAGCTGTTCAGTAGGCTGAGTTCTGAGGATCAAGGTTAGAAGCCAATCCCAGCAGACAAAATCAAGAGACTCTTAATTCCACATAAACAGCAAAATGTAGGAGTTGAGGCTATGGCTCAATTGGTAGAATGACAGCCTTCAAGGAAAAACCTAAGCAAAAGTGCAAGGCCCTGAATTCAAGCACCAGTCATGGTATGAAAGAAAAGAAGGAAAGGGATGGGGAGGAAGAAGGAGAAGGTATTTTTCCTTCACTCAATTACATTCAAGATAGGAAAGAGTTCTTGATTATAGCCATTCTAACTGGGGTAAGGTGGAATCTCAATGTTGTTTTCATTTGCATTTCTTTTATGGCTAGAGAGGTTGAACCTTTCTTCATGTGTCTTGGCCATTCTTATTTCCTCTTCAGAGAAGTTTCTCTTTAAGTCTTTAGCCATCTTATTTATCGAGCAGTTGTTTCTTTGAGGATTTGTTGTTGGAGTATTTAATTTTTTAAGTTCCAAGTATATTTTAAATATGAGACCTTTGTCGGTTGTATGGCTAGTGAAGAACTTCTCCCAATCCGTGGATTGATCTTGCTAGCTATGTCCTTTGCGATGCTGAAGCTCTGAAAAGAGCAGATGCTGGAGGGGATGTGGACTGAAGGGAACCCTATTGCATTGTTGGTGGGAGTGTAAACTTGTTCAACCACTTTAGAAACTAGTATGGAGGTTCCTCAAAAGACTCCACATAGAGCTCCCCTATGACTCAGCAATCCCACTTTTGGGCATTTACCCGAATGATCACAAACAAGACCATACCAAAGCTACCAGCACAACTGTGTTTATTGCAGCATTATTTACCATAGCTAAGATATGGAACCAAGCCAGATGCCCCTCAGTAGATGAATGGATCAAGAAAATGTGGTATATATACACAGTGGAATTCTATGCCTCCATCAGAAAGAATGACATTGCTCCATTTGTTAGGAAATGGAAAGACTTGGAAAAAAAAGTTATCTTAAGTGAAGTAAGCCAGCCCAAAGAAACATAGGTCCCATGGTTTCCCTTATTTGCAATAGCTAGTATATGTCTGGGTCAAGCAAAAGATATCAGATAAGATGATGTTAAGGGAAATGAACCCCAAGATAGGGACACAAGTTTTTTTTTTTTTCTTGCTTGCTATTGTTTCTAAGGTAGTTGTAAGGTACCATGTGATATTTTTGTTGCTTTGTATGTTGCTCCCCCACGGTATAACCCCTGTTTTCACTGTATTTGATGTTAGTATAATTTGGGGATGGGAAGGGAAAAAACATTGTTTAAATAGGGATACAGATTGATCCATTGTAACAATGAGATGTACAAGACACTATGTTAAAAAATGAACTTTACTATTTAGGCAGGGGAGAGCAGGAGGGAGGGGATGGTAGGGGAAAAGCAAAGGAGCAGGCAACAGTGCTTGATAAGAAATGTACTCATTACCTTTCTCATGTAATTGTAACCCCTCTGTACAGTATTTTTCACAATAAAAAAACTTATTTTAAAAAACTTATTTTTAAAAAATGTACTCATTACCTTGTGCATGTAACTGTAACCCTTCTGTACAGCATTTTCACAATAGAAAATTTAATTTTAAAAAAGATAGGGAAAAAGGATGTGTATTTTCATAACTGACTGGGATCACAGATCACATGGAGGAGGCAGAGTTTTAAAATGCTAATAATTAATGGAAATGGGAATAGTTTTGAAGATGTCATGGAGAATATTGAAATAGAGTTGGAATGTGAATTACAAATAGTTGGGGGCAATTGGACTAGCTGAGAAGGAAGGCAACTGTTTTATAGCATATGAAAGGGGCACAAAGGCAGTAATTAAAACATTTCATCGGGACACGATGAGTTATACAGTTTCAGAGATGGAGACAGGTTTGGGCTACTTTGTGTCCAACATCCCTACTTTGTCACAGGAGTAACAATGAAGTAAGAAGAATTCATTCAGTAAGAATGGGCAAATAATTTATATTTGGATTAGTTTACACAGTTTATATTGTTTTTTAGCTTCTGGTACATGAGTGATATAATCAAATTATAATTTGTTAGCTGCATAACAAAATGAGAAAAGCAGTGTGTGTATATGTTTGTAAACCTTCCCCTATTGAGATGTTTTTACTTTGAAATGTTATTACTTTAGTTGGCTGTTTATCCTTCTGCCTCCCTTTCTGTACCTTAGAATTTTTAAATAATAACAAAGACAGCTGTATTTCTGCAAACACCTATTATGACTAGGACATTTGTAGAATTAGTGAATGATCTTTAATGTCACATTACTTAGTAGAAAGGATTGAGTCAGTGAAAACTTTGTAACAGCTCCTGTAGATATAGAGTTGAGAACTAGCCTGAAATGACTCTAACAGAGGGCTGACATGTAGCTTGAGATGTCTGGGTGGATAGCTTTAAAAAGAAGTATGAATTTTGTTTTGAATTAGACTAGTCCAGGACTTTCTAACATCACCAGACAGTTTTTTGGAAGTGTGAATTCCCATTGCAGATCTACTATATCCGAAATTATAGGAATGAGGCCCAGTAATCTAACATGCTATAAGTCATTCTGATGAACTACTAATGTTGAAAACTACTAGATTAGAGGAATAATGAGAATACAGAATTGTGATACTGAAGACCACACTACAGATTGAATGCTTAAAGATAATATACATATTTATCATGGATATGACTGAATACATCTCAGTGAAAAGCTATTATAATAAGATTTAACATTAGAAACAAAGCTGAATATATTGTAAGTAGACATGATCTATTTGTTTAGACCACTTCCCTCCTAATTTTAGCATTTAATTAAGTAAAGCAAACTGAATTAGTCATTCCTCAAATGTCTTGAACATACAAAAAAACACCACCCAGACTTTCTCTCCCACATTTATATAACCTCCTACTGAACTTTTTCACTTCATACAAACTGTATATCTTGAAAATTGCATATAGTATCTTTTCCTTCAAACATTGTACCACTGTATGATTTTCCTATTTCAGAGTGCTGGATCACCCTCTAGTTACTCCAATCACCTCTACTACCTTGTAGCTTTCAGTGATGACCTTTTCTTCATTCTCATTTAGACCATAATTTATTCACCATTATTTTAATGGCCTCTTAACTGATCATACTATTTCCAGTCCTTTTCACAGCCTCTAATCCACTCTCCTGGTGGCCAGATCTGATTTGTTCTTGGTTACAGCTCTTCAATGGGTCTCTTTTACCTTCTTTATGAAATGAATCCTCCTTAGCTCAGCTATTAGGGCCTTTGGGTCCTATCTAGCTTTCTGCTCATTCTTGGACTCCCCTCTTCACCCCCCCCTGGCCTTTCCTTCTATTTGGAATAGTTTTGCTTTCCTTTACCTTAAGGACACTGAAAATCCTTCCCAAAGGCTGCTGAGATACTACCTGTCCAAGTACCTGGCTCTTATCTTCTAAAGTACATTGGAAGCATAGTGCCCTGAATTTCCCTTTATCACTTACCACATCTCACTGTGTTTGCATGATTATGAAGCAAAACTTTATGTCTCCCACTCCAATAGAGTATAAACTGCACAGGGATTGAGACTGTCATAGTCTTGTATCATTGCTTGTAGCACATTGGCTGGTAGATAGCAATTGTACCATGGGCATGGTAAACTAAATAATTAGCAGTATTCTGGTATGGTAATTGGAAATGACTTTAAAGGTTAATGGGTGGAACTTGTATTTTCTACATCAGACTTCCTTTTTATTCATTTATCTGTTCATCTAGTATTTTGTATAATGTGCTTTGTGTACCAGGAACTGTGATAGTTGGTATGATTCAACCGTGAGATTACCCAAATAGCCATTATAGCAGTGCATAGTCATGGTATGTGTACTTATCCTCTAGTGAAGGAAGTAGATAATTCAAAAGTAATTTATGTACAGAGCATAGATGCCAGGAAGGAAGAAGACTAGAATGCCAAGCGACCAGTGAGATTTGGAGAGGCAGGAAGAAATGGTGGTTGATCCAATATTTAGTTTCTCAGTTAAAGAATGGGAACATGGTCCTTTCAAAGATACAAGAGAGCAAACAATAAAATCCAGTAGAAAACCAGAGGAGGTGGCACTATGTCCAAGTTTCTTCTTTAGGAAAGAAGGCAAACTGAAAATTAGGTTTTAGAATATTTGCAGTGAGAGCGATTTTTTAAAGGACCAGAAATAGACCAATTTTGTATCATCCACTAAAGAAATGAGAACAACTAGTACTTATGAAAAGGTATGTGGTTTGATGTTGGTATAATTTGTGGAGGGGAAGGGAAAAAACAAATCGTTTAAATAAGGATACAAGTGGACCCATTGCAACAATGAGATGTACAAGTCTTTATGTCGAAAATGAACTTTACAACTTTGGTGGGGGAGGGGGAGGAAGATTGGGGGGGGCCAGGGGAGGATGGGAAGGGGAAACAAAGGAGGAGGCTACAATGCTTGATAAGAAATGTACTCATTGTCTTGCCCATGTAATTGTAATCCCTCTGTACAGTATTTTCACAACAAACAAAAAAAAAGAAAAAGAAAAGGTATGTGGAAGACAGAGGGTAACAAATGGATGGGAAAAATGTTTTAGACAAAAGAATCCATTGTCCTTGGCAATCAGAGTAGTAAAATGAGGACAGGGAACTCTGTCTGTCTCTCTAACCCCTTCTTTTCTTTCTTGTAGCTCCTAGCAAGTATGAGGCAGGGATTTCCCAGAAGAACTCACAGCAGCAATCTCTACTATCATAGCTGTTGGCTATCAGGTCGTGAGGGAGTGGAAGAAAGAGGAAAAGGTGAGTTCTTCCCAGAAGGAACTTGGCATTGGTGGCTGAGGGACATTCCTGTCATTTATCTGATTTGATAGAAAACATAACCAGTGTTTTCCATCAAGTTATTCAGTGATCATTTTTCTTTTTTGTTCTTGAACTTGTTAATCATAAAGTTATCTACTACTAACTCACCTAGGATCCATGGACAATATTAAAACTTACCTCTTCAAAATGTCTTCTGTTGTCAAATACTTCCCCAAATTTAGGAATTACAACTTTTAACATAGACTTCTCAGTCTTTTGACCATATAACATTTAGCATCTTTATAGTAAAAATCACAAAGTTGTAGAATTGAAGGAACTAGAGGTCCTTTTGTCTCTAACTTTTTATATTTCAAGTAAGAAAACCAAGACATAGGATTAAGTGAAATGACTTTTCCAAGAGTACATGGCCACATGTTGAAGTAAACATGAGCAGGATTTGTGCCTTTCTTTGTTAATTCTGTGTTCTTCTCTTAATGTGGTATACCTTTCAAAAGCCTTAAGAACATGATTACATTCTGTGTGTTCAAAGCCAATTTTCTTTTTTCCCCACCCTTATTGAGGTATAATGGACAATGATTACATGATGATTTCATAAAGACACATACATTACATTGCCTATCACAACTAATTAACACATTGTCATCAGGCATCATTAATTATTGTGTGCAAGTGTAAGTAAATGGGATTTGGGAGTGAGGACATTGAAAACCAAAATTCTGATGGATACTGAATTATTAATTATATCTACTATGCTGTAAATTACCTCCTCAGAACTTATTCATCTTGTAACTGGAAGTTTGTAGAATTTGATCAATTTCTCCCTATTTCTCACAGGCCCTAGAAACCAGTTTTACTTTTGGCTTTTATGAGTTCTCTTTTGGATTCCACATGTAAGTAAAACCATACAAAGAGCCCCAAAATATGACATTTGGGTCATGGTTTGGGTTTGTCAGGTTATTGATAAAATTTAAAATCCTAGTCTGTATACTCAATTACAGCAATGACTCCATGTTTGAGTCAATCAGTCATATATAACTAGCTGTTTAACAGCTTCTAGTCCATTTAAATATTTTTCTGTTTTAGCACTTATGTGTTTCCTTGGTGGATTAATGAAATTGCCATAGAATATAATTTTATATCATACTATTGTTCAAAAAGTACCGTGTGACATACAAAACAACCCCTCTGTGTGGTATTTTCACAATTAAAAAAAATGTTTAATGCTAAAAAAAAAAGTACCATGTGATGTGTGTGTGTTTTGAGTTCTTTGTTTCTGAACTCCTGTTGCTTCACAATAATATTTGCTAGTACTTATTTTCTGCAATAGTATGTCAATAACATATAGAGATTATTCATTTATTTTCCTTTCTAAATTTCTTTATAAAATATATTTGAGAAAGATGAAGTTACTAGTTGAAAACTATGCCTTTGAAGTTAATGCAAGTGCTAGATATTAAACTGAAGTCTTGTCCTAACCATTTGAATCATGTTCTCAGTAGTAGTAGTCCACTGTATTATCACATTCACACATTTTTCTATTAGTACTCTTCACTACTCATCATTTCTAGCATTAAGATTTTAATATTTCTCTACCATAACATCTGACCAAGGTCTGTTTACATAAGTAGGATATAAAAATTTCCCTCTCCCTTTTCCTACCTGTCTGCCCCATCAACTGGCATTTCCTCGATGGGAAGAACCAAGGTGGAGGTGGGAGGAGCACAACAAAGCAAAAGGATTTATGTGAGGATGAGGACGTAGAAAAGGAGGAGAGCAAAGAAAGAAAAATTCCAAGTATAAAGTAATTGTTCACTCTACTGCTGTTGTCCAACTGAAAGATCCATCTTCAGTGTGTCCCTGTCAGTTGTTAACCATAGTTTTCCAAGTGTAAGTTGAGGAGGTAGTCCAAGGTTGCAGCTGTTTGACTAAGTTCCTTAATTGTATTTTCTCCTAGAGACCTTTGGAGAAGACATGGCTCCCAGAGAAGAGATTACAAAGAGTACAAACAGAGTGCTCAGAATAAGTCAGTTGGATGCGCTTGAACTAAATAAGGCCCTGGAGCAGCTGGTTTGGTCCCAGTTTACTCAATGCTTTCATGGATTTAAACCAGGGCTGTTAGCTCGCTTTGAACCAGAATTGAAAGCATTCTTGTGGCTTTTCTTGTGGAGATTCACCATCTACTCTAAAAATGCCACTGTGGGACAGTCAGTCTTGAATATTCAGTATAAAAATGACTTTTCCCCTAACTCAAAATACCAGCCACCAAGTAAAAATCAGAAACTCTGGTATGCTGTCTGTACAGTTGGTGTGAGGTGGTTAGAAGAGCGATGCTATGATTTGTTTCGAAACCATCATTTTGCATCATTTGGGAGAGTCAAACAGGGTATGAATTATGTGGTTGGACTTTTAAAATTAGGGGAGCTGATTAATTTCTTGATATTCCTTCAAAAGGGAAAGTTTGCAACTTTGACAGAGCGTGTCCTAGGCATTCATTCTGTATTTTGCAAACCCCAAAGTGTCCGTGAAGTTGGCTTTGAGTACATGAATAGGGAACTTCTCTGGCATGGGTTTGCTGAGTTTCTGATATTTCTCTTACCCCTCATCAATATCCAGAAGTTGAAAGCCAAGCTGTCATCATGGTGTATTCCTCTGACTGGATCTCCTAGTAGTGACAGTGCGTTAGCCACCAGTGGCAAAGAATGTTCTCTGTGTGGAGAGTGGCCCACCATGCCTCACACCTTAGGATGCGATCACGTCTTCTGTTATTACTGTGCTAAGAGCAGCTTCTTATTTGATATGTACTTTACTTGTCCTAAATGTGGCACAGAGGTGCACAGTGTGCAGCCTCTCAAATCAGGAGTTGAGATGTCCGAAGTGAATTCTCTTTAGAAATTAAAATTGTTTCTCTTATCAAAATTGTATTATGCCTAAGTCCTTAATATGAGTCATTCTAAGTAGCGTACTTAGGTGTCTTTTATAAGGCTTGTGGTTTCCAGCTGCTGGATCTGTTCCTTTCCAGGCTTCACTAGAAACCACTTGATTCTCAATATATTTTGTTAGTGTTGATGTATTGTTTTTAAATCATTGAATTTAATTTTTAGTATTAAGAACAATGGAGAGTTTTGTGAGGTAACAGCTGAATAAATTTCTTCATTTTGTAACTTCCTAGAAAGCTCTAAAAAATAAAATAAAAGTATTTTGGAGACTTTGAGATAACTGTGCATTTATTTTCAGAGATGACATAATAACAAAACCCAACACTCCTAAGACCCTGTTGTTTTAAACCTTAAGATCTAGTGTCTTTGTTATTATTTTAAGCTTTTCCCTGAAGCCAGTTTTAAAGAGGTTCAGTCTGTATTTGTCAGACTCCTTCACAGTTGACCTTGTATTCAGAAAGCAAAAATTGCTTAAGGTGGTTTAGAAGTGAGGCCTGGGACTAGAGGAGACAACTGGTCTGAAGAACATTTCCTGGGTTTCTTTCTCTGTGTTTGATTCACAGCTTATGAACTTTTGCCTAAATAATACAAAACTATGTGAACAGTTTCCACAAAGAAAAGGTATTTGGTTTTAAGCCAGATCTCAAAATTTTTGTGTTTTGACAGTAAACCAAAATATAAACTAACTCTATTTAACTTTGAAACTAACACACATTTATGTGTACTTTTATACATATATAGTAGAAATAAATATACATATATAGTAGAACATAATATAGTACAATTATGCATATATAGTAGAAATAATGCAGTTAAAATTTGACAGTATAATCACAACGAATTTCTCAATAGAGTATTATTACATACATAAGTGAGCATTATATAAGTTAATTATGTGTGTGTTTGTGTGTGCCTGAGTAGCTAGGATTACAGGGGTGAGCCTCCAATGCCCAAAAGCATATTATTTTTTCTGTTAAATAGTATATATTAGTATTTAGTCTTATGCTTGGAAAAAAAGCTTTCATATAATAAACAGGCTTCTACATAAATTATCAAAGTATAATTGAAATATAGAGACCTCTGTTCATTGTTTTGTTCACCTTTGACTCAACAAACACTTAGGTGCCCAGTACTGACATAGGCACTGGGGATACATCAGTGAATACAACACAAGAAATTTCCTACTGTTCATAGTCTGATTGAATGATTGTGAGTTTAACTTAATTTAGTATAAAGTACCAAAGAAATTTTGTAGTTTGAAAGCAAGATTATTTTTGTCTGAAACTTTACTTTTGTTTTCCTTTCTCTGCGTTCAAATTTGAAGATATTATTGTTATAAACTTAGAAAATTCAGAGGAAAAAATTCTACTACACAGAGATCATCAAAGTATCCTAATGTGTTCTATTGTTTATTCACCATCTTAGGGTACTTATGTTCCCTCTACTTTCTGTTGTAAATAAATGCAGTGATGAATCTTAAATGTAGTCAGGAAATCTTTTGGTTGCTATGATATAAAACCAATTTAGACTGATATTCTTAAGGAAAATAACATGAATTTGAAAATGTGAAGAATCCAATCTGGTTGTAGATGCTCAAAGAATTCTCTGTAATTGTGTATCTCTTCACTCTCATTTGTATAGTTAGCAGTATGCATGGCATAAAGGCTTGAACTTGGGTTCAAGTCTCATCTGAACCATTCATTTGTGTAGAACTTGGAGCAATGTACTAACTTCTGTATATCTGTACATTATAAGGATGGTATGTTTAGGACATTATATAGTTTGTTTTTCATTGCTGTGATAAAGTGTCTTAGAAATAACAATGGATGAAGGCTCATGATTTCAGAGGTTCCAATCACAGGTCACTTAGCTTTATTGCTCCTGGGTCCATAGTGAGGAAGAGCATCATCAAGGAAGCATATGGTAGACGTGTGTTGCTCACCTCATGGTGGACAAGAAACAGAGACCAAGGTTTGATCTAGTTTGATCTAGAATGGTTGTTGTCTTAGAATGCAAATACACCAACTATTTCATATGTTGTTATTTTGGCCTAGAGTATATACTAAGCTTACTAAGTAAATTCTTAAGTTACTGCCCTAATTTTCAAAGTGAAAATGCAATATGTTATTTTTCTGGTAGCAAATAGAGTTGTCAGTATTACAGAGGTTTCCATGTTTCCCTACCTCCACAGTCTGTTGGCACTTTGAAATATATGTGGTGTGTGTGTGTGTGTGTGTGTGTGTGTGTGTGTGTGTGTGTGGTGGTGGTGGTAGTGGTAGTAGTGGTGATGCTCGTCAACACAGGAAAATAAAATGCTGTGTGTGTGTGTGTGTGTGTGTGTGTGTGTGTGTGTGGTGGTGGTGGTGGTAGTGGTAGTAGTGGTGATGCTTGAACCCAGGGCTTGAATGCTGTCCCCAAGCTCTTTTGCTCAAAGCTAGCACTCTACCACTTTGAGCCACAGCTCCATTTCCAGTTTTTGAGTGGTTAATTGGAGGTAAGAGTCTCACTGGGACTTTTCTGCCAAGGCTGGCTTTGAATCTTGATCCTCAGATCTCAGCCTCCTGAGTAGCTAGGATTACAGTAATAACCCACCACGGACTGGTTTAAAATGCTTTTCTAAGGAGGGTGCATGCTGGGCAGGTAAAAACAACAAATGCCTGTTCTAGTTTACATTTGTCTCTGCAAATTCTGTGTCAGGTCATTTTACCAATTTTGAGATTGCAAGGTGCAAGATATATTCTTCCAGGACTTGTCTGGAACGGTTGTCTTAGAATGCAAATACACCAACTATTATGTTATTATTTTGACCTAGAGTATATACTGAGTTTACTAAGTAAATTCTTAAGTCACTGACCTAAGTGTCAAAGTGAAAATGCAATATGTTATCTATCTGGTAGCAAATGGAGTTGTCAGTATTACTGAGGTTTCCAGGTTTCCCCACCTCTAGTCTCTATTGGCACTTTGAAATATATGTGTTGTGTGTTGTGTGTGTGTGTGATGTGAGAGTGTGTAATCTCTATATCATATATATATGAGCTCAAATTTCTGAGCTCAAATAATCCTTCAACCTGGCCAGTAATCTGGCTACTTTATTTTTTTAACTTAAATTATTATTTAATGTATATTGTCCCCTATTGATGACAACCCTTAGGAGTTCAGAGACCATAACTATTTTGATCTTTACTACTTGATCAAAGCCTTTTAGCTCAGTAGACACATTTTGATGAATGAATAAACTGAATGCCACAGATTGGGTTCTGTGGAAGCAGATGTTGAAAAGGGTTTGAATTGCAAGAAGTATGTCATCTTTTTTTTCAGTATTGCTCAGAGATTGGTTCCAACACCCATCTACAGATGTTTAACTTCCTTATAAAAGTAGACAGTATTTGCATAATACCACACACATCTTCATGTATGTTTAAATCATCTGCAGATTTTGCATAACACCTGATACAATGTAGATGTGGTATAAATAATTGTACTGTGTTATTAGGGAATGACAGGTGCGGGGGCAGATGTGGTAAATGATTGGTGCAGATTCATTCTTTCGATTGAACTTGTTTTCAATCTACATTTGGTTGACGTCACAGAAGCTGAACCTGTAGTACAGAGGACTGACTATAAGTGTATCTAGGCCCCACACCTGTGAAAGGAAAGAGCAAAGAAGTAGGACTAGGCAGAAAGAAAAGGGAGACTGTGGTACAAGCCTGACAAAACTTGGCAAAGCCTGAGGGGAGCTATGGGACTAGTACTGTCTGCTTTTTATTTCCACATCTGTCAGTCACTGTGGGGCTGCTCTGGGAATGAAGTGACCACAAGCATGGCAGCTCCTGCAGCTGTAGCAGACCCTGAAGGAGCTAACAGCTGGAGGCATCTGCTGACCTACACAGCTGATCAAGAAGACCAGACTTGAAGGAGCAGCTGCGTGGTATGTGTATCTTACTATGTACAGCACCTATTGTTTTCTCTATAATTTACCTTTTTGTTGCTTTCCTTATAAGATACTTGACATAACAACACATAAATGGCAAATCAATGAATTTACGATGGACCTATACTCACAGCAGGAACTGTCTCACTGTAGTTGGCCAGTTCTCCCGGTCATGTTGCTGTGGGAGTCCCTGAACCCCCTTTCAGTCCCTACCTGCATGGACACTACCAGAACATTTAACAATGGGGTGACCTCTACTCCCCAGTGGCCTTAACAATGTGGTGACTTCTACTCCCCAGTGGCCTCAGGGCACAACATTCAGGAAAGCTGGGTCATATTTAGCTGCATGATGGTATTCTGCTATAGCCCCAAGAATCCAACTGTCAATTGTAAATGTTTTTCTTTTGAAAATAAAAATTTTCTCACTAGTACGTTCCTTTCCTCTAACATGCAACTTACTCTCAAATCATGTTATCGTGTTATCTACTTCTATATTATTTTAAGTGGCATCAGTATCATATGAGAGTCACAAGATATCAACAGAGGTAACACAAGATAAATTGTGCTTCCTGTGGGTGTCAGCAAGTTTATTTGTTTTTAAGATTCCATTGTTTACTTGAGCCACACCCCAGCTCTTGTTCACTTATGAAATGTGCATTCAAAATAATGTCTCCCTTTTATTTTTTAATGGGAATTAAATAAATCATTTTCTCAAAAGTTAATGGGCCCCTACATTCTTCTCTACTCATAGGGAATGAGTTTGTGAATAAAACCCTTCTTTGTGGAATTTACATTCATGACAGGGTAATAAGCAGTAAAATATACACATAACATAATTTCAGATGTTAGAAGTGCTCTGAAGAAAATAAAACTGGCCAAGGAAGTGGTGCTGTCTTGAATTGCATACGCATACAAGGACTAAAGAGGTGAAATCTGAAAAGATGCCCAAAGGAAATGGGAGAAAGCCAAGAAGAAGAGTATTAAAACTAATAGGTACTTGTTTGTTATTCAAGTGTCAGGTGCCCAACCTCCGGGTTGAGAGTTCAAGTTCTGTTTAAGAAACAAAGCACCGGGCCTGGGAAGGTGGCTCAGTGATAGAGTGCTTGCCTTGCATGCATGAGGCCCCGAGTTCTATTCCTCAGCACCACATAAGCAGGAAAAGCCAAAAGTGCCGTTGTGGCTCAAGAGGTAGAGCACTAGCCTTGAGCTGAAGAGGTGAGGGACAGTACCCAGACCCAGAGTTCAGGCCCCACAACTGGCAAAAAAATAAAAAAAGAAAGAAAGAAAAGCACCATTAATAAGAGAAAAGGGTGAGAAATGAGGTAGCTGACACAAGTGGCCAGA